TCCTAGGCTCAAGTGATCCTCCTGCCTCGGCCCCCCAAACAGCTGAGATTACAGGTGTGAGCCACCATGCCCAGCCCCTGTTCCCAGTTATAGCCACTCCCAGACCCAAGCTGATCTGCCTTTGTCTTTAGAGATTTGCCCATTTCTTCACATTTCATAAACATGGAATCATACTAGAGCCGACTTTTTTGACTGATTTCCTCCACTTACCATTATGTTTTTGAGACTTGTTCATGTGGTAGCATTGTTTCATTCCTTTTTATGACTGAATAATTTTCCGTTGCATACATATACCATGTTTTTGTTTCTGCATTTACTGTTTGACAGACACTTGGATCATTTCTAGTTTAGGCTGTTACGGTTGATGCAGCCATCATCAGACTGGTACTGGTCCTTGGTACCAGTCTCTATATGGACGTATGTTTTCATTCATTTAGGAGACACTTGGTGATATTGCTGGGCTGTGCAACAAGGTGACTGTTTGGGGAACTGCCCTACATTGTCTGGAGTGGCTGCACCATTTTACATCCCCATTGGCCATGTATGAGAGCCCATTTCTCCACATCCTCACCAATGCTGGTTATAGTCTAGCCTAAGGGAGAAGGGGGTGTTCCTTTTGAAGTGATATTAGATACTAGTTAGGATCAGAGAAGAACAGCAAAGAGTTAAAAGTGGGATAGAGGCCAGGCACAGTGGCTCACGCCTGTAATCCCAGCACTTTAGGAAGCTGAGGTGGGTGGATTGCTTTAGGTCAGGAGTTCAAGACCAGCCTAACCAACATGGTGAGACCCCCATCTCTACTAAAAATACAAAAATTAACCGGGCATGGTGGCAGGTGCCTGTAATCCCACCTTCTCCAGAGGCTGAGGCAAGAGAATGGTTTGAACCCAGGAGGCAGAGGTTGCAGTGAGCCAAGATCTCGCCACTGCACTCTAGCCTGGGCAACAGAGTGAGACTCCATCCTAAAAAAAAAAAGGTGTGGGCTGGATCTCAGGAGAGCAGATTGTGGTCATAGACTTCAGCAGGAGGCCTGTGATCTCTCTCCTGGTGAACACAGAGGTTCTCTGGTGGACTCAGCAAAGACCCACCCCTGGGAGTAGGTTATAGTGCAGACACATGGGGCCCAGACGGGAACAACTGGGGATGCCCTGCTGGACCATCCAGGCTGGTGACGATGGGTGTGGAGGAAGCTGTTGTCTACAAGGAGCTAAGTGAATGAGCATTTCCTCCTTTGGATGGTTTACTCAGCCTCCTCCCTGCCCCTGCTGAGGGTGGGCAAGAGGATGTCCTCTGCCTGCCCACTGGTGACTCAATCCAGCCACAGACTACAGAGCAAGCAGGGCAGTGCTGGGCCCCCAGCAGAGCCACCATGCAAGGTGGTCAGTGACGCTTCAGGGCAGCATGCAACACCTGCCCCAGTTGGGCTTTGGCCTCCCTCAGCCCCCACCCCACCACTTCCCTGGGATGGATGTGCATGGTAGTTTTCTAGGCAGACCTCCAGGCCACCATCTACCAGGCCCGCTGACCACAGTCATTCTTCCAAGGCTCCTGCCTTACCCAGCTCGGGGGGAGATGAGCAGCGACCTAGTCGTCGTCCTGAGACCACTGCACGTGAGCAGACAGGCCCCCGCCCATCCGGTCCCTGTCCAGGCAGCAGGCGTATTTCTCACCAAGACCTTGCAACCCAGGGGGACCCTGGAAAGCATCTGGAGTGCCTCAGTTTTTCCCTTAAGGGAAAACTACTGTTTCCCCCTTGGTCATCTGTTTTTCCAAACCCCCGTCTTTTCCTTGTTTACTTCTCTGGTGCTTTAAATAACTTCACGAGAGAGCGTGCCAGCCTTGAGCAATGTTTGGGGTTGGCCAAGCCGAGGCACAGGCCTCATTATCATGCTATTCTTTATACGACTTCCGCTCTGCGGAGCACACTCAGTTCTTTGGAACAGAGCCAGCCTCGGGGCGGCCTTTCCCACTGGAGCCGCCAGTCAGGACCTCCGTGAGAGCTGGTGCCCGGAGGCCAACAACCTGGTCTTCAGTCACTGGGAGTCACAGAGAGGGACCCAGTAAAGAGCCCAGCTGGCAGCATCAGTGCCAGGTTGGGGTGGGTGCTGGACAGCACCAGTGCTGGGGAGTGGACGCTGGCTGGAGCCCCGCCCAGGCTGCACATTGCTCGGCCAGCTTAGTCTGGGGGAGCAGGACCGGAGCAGGGTGTCCTCCGCCCTGGGTCCATCAGGGGCACTGCATGTGATTATTGGGGTTACGTGCTGGGAGTGGTACAGATTCTGTACACTCTAGAGCGCTTCCAGCACAAGGCAGGCTGAGCAGTCATACTTTACTCAGTCTCCAAACTTGGGCAACAGGAAACTAGCCACTTAACAAGGAAGCTCAGCTTTTCTGGGCTTTAAAGATGGAGACACGTTGGAAATTCCCGTAACCGATAGGCTGGGGTGGGAGGATGTTCTTCCCACACACAGACAAAAAAGTGGAACCCGGGGTGATGGGAAGCTTTGACCTTGGCCCGCCGGACTGTGGGGCGGGGTTTCCCTCAAAGCCTGGTCAAAAGGCCGTGGAGGCTGGAAGCTCTCGTTTAGCCCCACCAGCTTCCCAGAGCAGCAAGGTCAAGCATGCGAGAGTCGACACCCGCCCCGGCCGCAATGCAGGGCCTCCTTCAGTACTTCCATCCCGGCCGGGCGGGCCGGAGCCAGGCAGCTTCTGCTGAAAAGTACCGGTGTGCTCGCGGCACTGCCCTGTGGACCCACATCCAAAACCTGGTGTGCAAGGGCAAGGTGGGCTGACGTGTGGGCCGTGGTTCCAGGGGGGCTTTGAGGGGCAGCCGCCTGATGTGTGGACAGCTTCTCTGTCTCTGTTTACCTGGACTCTGGGTTGCTTGTTAGCTGCTTCTGCCTGTTCTGGGTTTTTAAGGGGAGAGGGACCCAGTGATGGCTGTTTTTTGAAGGAAAGGGAAGAATGTCTCCTGCTTAACATGTTTCTGTGTTTCCAGGTACTTGGTTGGTTAGTACAGCCAGGGTCTTGCTCTGTTGCCCAGGCTGGAGTGCAATGGCATGATCTTGGCTCACAGCAGCCTCCACCTTCTAGCCTCAAGTGATGCTCCCACCTCAGCCTCCTGAGTAGCTGGGACTACGGGCACGTGCCACCATGCTTGGCTAATGTTTTTGAAAATTTTTTTATAGAGACAGGGTCTCACTATATTGCCCAGGTTGGTCTTAAACTCATGGGCCCAAGTGATCCTCCTGCCTTGGCCTTTGAAAGTGCTGATATTACAGGCAGGGTTTCAATTTTTTAAAGCTCCCAGCAGGGGTATTAAAGTCTCCCTTTCCAGAGAAAGCGCACTCTGTCCCCATCCCTCATGTTATCCTCTCCTGCCTCTGCTTAGGGTTCACTCTGGGGGAAGTGCCACTTGAGAGATTCCTTTTTGTGTGTGGCTTCTGACTGACCGGTCCCTGCTCACAGCTGCTGCTTCTCAGGGTGGGGTCCCTGAGGCCTGGAGTGTGGCCTCTGAAAACCTTCAGGGCCAGAAGCAGAATGAGAGCCTGTGGCCACATAGCCCCTGATGGGAGACGTCCTGCCACCCTTTGCTTCTCTGTGTCACTCTGGCTGTACATTTCAGATCCCTGGGAAACGTTAACTGGTAGGACCTAGAAGGGGAGGTGAGGAGGGGTCACGCCCCAGGTGTGCCTGTGGTGAGCCTTTGTGCTGAGCAGGTGCAGGGAGGGAGGCCCAGGTGCACACATCTGTGAAGTAGGGGCAGCTGGTTGGGCTCCTTGACCTGCTCCAGAACTTCTTATTTTCTAGCCACTTCACCTGCAGAAGGCCCAGGTGGCTGTGGTCTCTAGGGTCCCTTGCAGTGAACATGCCGCCTGTCCTCAGCTCCTCTCTAGGCCTGGGGCTGTGCTCAGCACCGTCGTATGTGTGTATGTGTGCACGCACGTGCATGTGTGCAGGCATCATGAGGTGTGGTCCCTGCTCTTAGGCAGCTTGCCTTGTGGCTGAAATGAACCATCACCTGCATCAAGGGGTGGAAACACAAGGCCAGATGCAGTGGCCTTGTCTGGAGTCAGATGGTGGCTCCGTGACCTGGCTTCACTCCAGAACTACCTGGGGTTTCTAGTTGTGCAAATCCCAGGTTCCACCCAGATTATGAGTCCAGTTTTCTACAGGTGGAGCCCAGGAAGGTGTATTTTTAACACGATGGTACTGCTCATTCACCCAGCCCAGCCAGTGGTCTCTGTGTACCCAGGAACTGCTGACACAGAGCTGGTGCTCCCCATAAAACGGGAGACAGCCTTCACGGACGGGGGACGTGTGGCTTGGTCATGACAGGGTGTTTCGTACCAGCACAGACTGTGTTCAGGTGACATTAAGCACAAGTTCCTGCAGGCTAGCTGCCTGGACAGGGCTGGGTGGGGGTAGAAGTTAGAGGGGTCACAGAGGGGCTTCCTCCCGGCCGCCTCACCAGCTGCTCGATTTAGGGCTTGGCTCTGGGTCCTCCTGGGCCTGATTCTGAACCACGGGAGTGGTGTGGCCTGCGGGCTCCTCCTGCCACAAGCTGTTCATGCAGGGGGAGAACAGTGTCCACAGTTCCCCAGACAGCAGCAGTGGATACCAGGGCCCCAGGAGTTGTTACTGAAGTTGCTGCTGGACAGCTCGCCCTTCACTGAGCTCCACATAGCACCCGTGGTGATGGGAGCCGGGTGGAGAGAGAGTGCCAGCCTGCGCATCAGCTCCCAACTGGGAGGGGCAGAGGGAGGAGGGAGTGGGAGCCCCAGGCAGCAGGGCTCTGGGAGCAGTGGGGCCCTGGGTTCCAGGGGTGTCTGGCAGGCCCCTCCTTATTCTACCTCTTTTGGCCTCTGGGTGGAGATGCTGGCCACAGTCAGGCTCTGCCTCTGACTAAGGACTGGAGAAGTGGCGGGTGTGGGCTGCTGCCCCGTGCAGCCTCTGAACAGACCCCAGGGCCTCTGCCAATCATGACTCCTTGCTTTCAGCTGGACCCACAGGCCCTGCAGGACAGAGACTGGCAGCGCACCGTCATCGCCATGAATGGGGTACGTATCCGTGGGACTCTTCTGGCACCCACTTCCCCCAGAAGGGTAGGGTGGCCTCTGTTCATTTTCAAATCGGTCAGAGGTGGCTGAGCCTGAGCCAGCGTCTGACACGGAGCCTGGTTGGAGGAGGGAGGTTCCCCGAAGAGCAGAATCGCCGTGCCCGGGAATCGTCATTCACTGACTGGGATGCAGTTGCCAGCCAGGTCCTGAGCATCCCTCCTCAAACAAAGGTCTCATGGCACCACCAGGACAGGTGGGGCCTCCACCCGGGGACCTGGAGGCTGCCTGTAGAAATGGAGACCCCCGATTTGTCTTTAGGTACCCCAGAAAGGTTTACACCTTAAAAGCAATGACACACCCAAAAAGGTCTGGGCATATATGGCAAAACGTTAATATTTGCGATTATTGGCTTTTTCTTATATTATTGTTAGTCTTTCTCACTTAATTTTTAATTGTTACTAAGAAAGAGAGAGCTGGGCACAGTGCACCTATGGTCTCAGCTACTCTGGAGTCTGAGGCAGGAGAATTACTGGAACCCAGGGGTTCGAGTACAGCTTGGGCAACATAGCAAGATCCTATATCTAAAAAAAGCAAGCAAGCAAGCAAGAGAAGCAGCGGGGATTTTAGGAGGTGGTTCTGCAGAAGCCAGTCCTTTACACCATCTTCAACAATCCCGGCTGTTGCTGAAGTAGACTAGGGGATTCCCTGAGGGGCAGCCCTACCTCATGCTGAGACCACTGCATGCCTTGGGGGTGGAAATATTTGATGAGACTCCCAGGGGCCCTTGGGACCTTGGGCTTTGAGGACCAGATAGATCAGAGGACTGTGCCCTTTCTCCCCTCTATAGATTGAAGTAAAGCTCTCGATCAAGTTCAACAGCAGGGAGTTCAGCTTGAAGAGGATGCCATCCCGAAAACAGACAGGGGTCTTCGGAGTCAAGATTGCTGTGGTCACCAAGTGAGTGGGGAGGGGCTTGGGCTCATGCACTGAGGGTGCCTGTCCCTTCAGCTGTTTCTGCAGAGAAGAGCATGTGTGGGTCTCTCCTCTCTCTGTGTGGCCGCTGCGTGGTGAGGTCAGGCCCCAGGGAACACTTGGTGTGTTCAGCTACCTCCTGTGTTTACCAGCTCAGGAATGTCCTTGCCGCCTTGCTTGGAAGCAGTAGGGCTGGCTCCAGGAACTGCCCAAGTGCACGGTTTTCTGCCCTCGCTTGGAATTTGTCATGGTCCCAGGTTCCTGTTGAATGGCCATAACCCCTGCCCCTTTGTCACGAGTCAGTTGCCAAGAGAAACCTGTTTGGTTTGAGAGCAGTTCTTGCAGACACAGACCACTTCCTCTGAGAATTCATTTGCTTCCCCAGGATGGAATCCAGCTGGGCCCCTGAACTTGCTGGTCATGTGGGCTGGGGCCTCCATCAGTCACACCCTGGACTCCTTTCTGTGTCTAAACACCACTCCCCACCCCCAACTGCACGGCAGCCACTTGTGTAGCACTCTGGGAGGGCTCTGGGCATGAGCAGCGAGGACTCCAGCAGCAGCTCCCCCAAATAACCACTGCTAATGAGGGTGGCTTGAGAAGCAGCTTTGATGTGCTCCCAAATCCAGTTGCAAAACAGAACTAAAGGCCTCAGCACGGCGCTCACTTTGAAGTATTCTTACTCTAGTGTCCTGTGTGACGGTATTGGAATTGTTCATCGCTAAGATTCAGAGGAGAAAAGCACTTAGCAGCACAGGAGCTGCTGGTGCTGAGGCAACCCTTCATTCGTCAGATGTGTTAAGGTCCAAGCCCAGGGCAGGGGTCAGGGATTCTCCTCTCACACAGCACGCGGGTGGCAGGACCAACACCGGGTCTGATCCCCCAGCTGGGGGCACAGGCTGCTAACCCCAGGCCTGGAATCTATCAGATGCCCTTTCTGTGCTGACTTTACTTAGGACTCCTGACCTTCCCACAAAGATCATGTGTGATTTGCAGAGGGTCTGGCTGCTTCAGCCTCTTAGAAAGGTCCTGAGAAAGTACATGCAATGAGGACAGGGCTTGCAGAGGGAGGGCAGGCATGCAGAAGGCTGTGTGTGCAGTCCCAGACCTGGGCATCTTCGTCACTGTCCTCACTCCACCTCCATGTGTATAGATAGGGGACAGGTTTCCTGTGTTGTGGCCCAAGCAGGGCTGTCAGGACATTGAGAACATTTCCTCCTTCCATAGGAGAGAGAGGTCCAAGGTGCCCTACATCGTACGCCAGTGCGTGGAGGAGATCGAGCGCCGAGGCATGGAGGAGGTGGGCATCTACCGCGTGTCCGGAGTGGCCACGGACATCCAGGCACTGAAGGCAGCCTTCGACGTCAGTGAGTGTCGGCCTGCGCAGGACGGGATGGAGGTGTGGGCGGTGGTGTTGGCGATGAGATCTCAGAGCACTCCATGGCCTGGGCATGTCATATCCTTCGCTGTGTCTTTTTTTCATTTACTGTTTTATTATTTTTTAAAAAGAGAAAACAAGAGTTGTAGAAAAAGCTTCTACAGAAGCCAGTATTCAAACCATCTTTGCTACACATGCCGCTTGCTGGGGTGAACCAGGGGCTTCTGCAGGGCCTTGGCCTTCCTGCCTTGGGGGTGGACACCCAGGACTCAGTACAGTCTGTCCACTGCCCTGTGTGAGGATGCGGCAGAAGAGGGCACCGATGGGACCCAACTCAGGCCAGGGCTGTGTCATCTCCGCCTCTATCTCACCAACCCTCACAGGCTATGAAGGACCTGGAACTGCCACAAATGCCAGGGGAGGGCATTGAGACCCCAGAGGGTCCTTCCCAGCATCTTCAAAGCAACAGGATTTTGTGCCTGCAGACCCTTCTTTGGGGCACACACCACTGACCCTGACCAGGACCCCTAGAATGCCCAGCACCCCTGGGAGGGCCCTGTGGTAGTTTCAGCTCCCTCTGGGGGCCCAGAATAGACCTGGCCTGTGGTGAGGACGTAAGCACCAGTGACCAATTGGGTCCAAAGGAAGACACCGGTTCAAACACTGAAACCAATCAGATTTTCCCACAGCCTTCCTGCCATCAGAAGACACTGGTGCAGGGGTGGTTGCTAGGTACAGGGCAGAGTCACCCGATTCCCACACAGGCACCGTGTCCTGCCATGCTGGCCTCCTCCTGGCCGTGACATCAGGCCAAGCAGGGGAGAGGAATGGGAATGCCCATGCAGCCCCATCAACTCTGCAGACACAGAACTACGCACAGCTCTTGGGAGGGGTCAGATGAGCTGCTTAAAGCCGGGGAGGGACCCGCACAGTGGTCAGCGTGGCAGGGACGGTGCTTTAGCCAAGGCAGGGATGGTGGGAGACTCACTTGGGATCCTGAAGGAGGCCGCTGCATTTCCATGCTCTTTCCAGATAACAAGGATGTGTCGGTGATGATGAGCGAGATGGATGTGAACGCCATCGCAGGGACGCTGAAGCTGTACTTCCGTGAGCTGCCCGAGCCCCTCTTCACCGACGAGTTCTACCCCAACTTCGCCGAGGGCATCGGTGAGCACTGAAGGCCTTGGCCTCATGGGAAACGTCTCCTCCACATGCACTGCTGCCCTTGGAGGCTGTGAAAAGTGATGTGTGGGAACCCGAGCTGTGCCCCCTCTGCCATGGTCGGTGTTTTAACCCAACCTCAGAAAACAGGACCAAAATCAAGCCTGTCCTGGAAGACCTCGCCCATCCCCAGAGGGCTCCCCGTCCCTATTCCTCAAGGGGACCAAGAGGGTGAAATGGTCAGCACTGCCGTGCTGTGGGGTCCTAAAGTCTGCTGTCCTCCTTCCTGCAGAACAGGACTGAAGGAGCGCCCAGGTGCTCTGGCCATGGGTCCTGGCCCAGTCAAGCATGGGTTCAAACCTGGCCTGACCCTTAGTCAACCTGCAGGCTGATGGCTAGAGTGGGCGCTGGCACGTGCAGCACCTGTAACCTCCACGTCACCCTTAGGGCAGCTCTGCCCGCGGGGCCCATGCACACCCAGGCTGCAGGTGGCCCTGTGGTGTCCAGGACAATGAGGGGGTCTCTGCGTACTTGGTGGGGCTGGGGCCCTCCCACTTCCCACTTCCCACCTCCTTGTGTCCCTCACTCCCGTTTCATTCCACGCCGAGCCTCCCCTGCGTTGGGCTCCCCTGGGGAGGGGGTGGTGGCGGGGGATGCCCAAGGGCAGCTCTGCCCATGAGCGGCTTTCACGGCTCCTCCTGCTGCCGTTTGCTGGGTGCTGCTGACCCCTGTGAGGTAGAGAAAAGGTGTTCAGGTGGCTCATACCGCACACCAGCGCCCCTCGCAGGTTCCTCACTGGGGGCCAGAGCTGTGGGACTGAGGATGATGAAGAGCCTGGGCTGTGCAGGGACACAAGACCCAGGCACTCCACGTAAGCACCTCAGGAGAGGTCTGTCTCATTGTGACCCTGCGGAGTGACCCACCGCCTTCTCCAGCTCTTTCAGACCCGGTTGCAAAGGAGAGCTGCATGCTCAACCTGCTGCTGTCCCTGCCGGAGGCCAACCTGCTCACCTTCCTTTTCCTTCTGGACCACCTGAAAAGGTAGCCCAGCTCTCCTGTGACTGCCCGTGGCTGCAGGTCCCCAGGCCATGGGGTGCCCCTCTGCTCCCACCGGACCTCCAGCACCGAGGACCTTTTCCCCTGACTGCAGTCACTCACTGCCTTTGGGGACTAGTGCCACTGCCACCCCTGCCCCAGCCTCTCATCTTTGCCACCCTCCTCGCTTTGGACTGTGGCCTTAAAGAGCTCAGAGCTTTGGCCATGGCCAGCAGTGTACTTGGACCCCCCTCTTCCCTCCCAGTGACATCAAGGAGGAGACCTCCCCACCAGTCCGGAGCTGGCCCTTTGTCCTGGGCTGCCGAGACCCAGCAGTACCAGGGCTGGAGTCAGCTTGCAGCACAGCCAAGGTCGAGGTCACTCCCTTCCTGAGGACTCCAGCGTGGCACAGCCCCTCCGCCTCTCTGCTAGTGGTGGTGGTGAAACAGCACCTCTGCTTTGGTCCTCTACAGGGTGGCAGAGAAGGAGGCAGTCAATAAGATGTCCCTGCACAACCTCGCCACGGTCTTTGGCCCCACATTGCTCCGGCCCTCCGAGAAGGAGAGCAAGCTCCCTGCCAACCCCAGCCAGCCCATCACCATGACCGACAGCTGGTCCTTGGAGGTCATGTCCCAGGTATGGGAAGAACAGGTTCCAGCCCACCCCAGCCTGACAGAGGTGGCCTCTGCCTGTCCCACCCCCCAGTCCTGCCCATCTTCCTACTTGCGTTGTATGTGGTGTGGCCGAGATTCAGAGAGAGGGACTTGCCTAGGTCTGCATGGATGGGAGTGATGGCGGGGGGCCCAGGCCACCTCCTGGTCCTGCTGGTGCACCTTGCTGGGGGCTTAAAACCACCTCAAGTGTTCGGGTGTGGTGGCTCATGCCTGTAATCCCAGCACTTTAGGAGCCTGAGGCAGGATAACTGATCCCAAGTGTTTGAGAACAGTCTGGGCAATATAGCAAACCCCATCTCTAGAAAAAATTAAAAGAAAAATTAGCCAGGCATTGTGGCACACACCTGTAGTCCTAGCTACCTAGGAGGCTGACACAGGAGGATCGCTTGAGCCCAGGAGTTAGAGGCTGCAGAGATCCATGATGGAGCCACTGCACTCCAGCCTGGGGGATAGAGCAAGGCCCTGTGCATCTCTAAAATAAACACCCCCCTACCAAGTCATGCCTTGTCAGGACCCCACCCCACCCCCGTCTCACTGTAAGGGGTTCATGACACCAGCAGGGGTTTCCAGCACCTGAGGTGGACTTGGAGGCTTACGCCCCAAAGACCTCCCCACCAGCTGCTGTGAGCCCCCCTCTGAGCCGCTGTCCTCTTCCCCACTCTGCCCGGGCAGGTCCAGGTGCTGCTGTACTTCCTGCAGCTGGAGGCCATCCCTGCCCCGGACAGCAAGAGACAGAGCATCCTGTTCTCCACCGAAGTCTAAGAGCCCCAGTTCATCTCCCGGAGGCGAACAGACGGCCTGGAAACCTCTGGCTAATCAGGCCATCCGTAGAGTGGGAACCTTCCTGAGGTGTCCTTGGGCCACCAAGTGTCGGGCCATCTGCCAAGAAGCAGCGACCCAAAGGCAAAGGACAGGTGGACTGGGCAAATCCCGCCTAGGTCTGGAAGCCCCAGACTGGCCTCAGACTGTGGTTTTTTTCCCTGTGGCCACCCGAGGGCGCCCCAAGCCAGTGCATCTGAGAGGCCAGGCCTGGCCCTGGGAGACAGGGTGAAAACAGTGGTTTTTATGAACTTAACTTATAGAGTTTAAAAGGTTTCTACTGGATCACTTGTCAAGATGCACTCTCTGTGGGGAGAAGGGAATGTGACCAGATTCCCTCACTGTTGTATCTTGAATAAACGCTGCTGCTTCATCCTGTGGGGCCATGGCCCTGTCCGTGTGGGTGGGGCCTCTTCCATTTCCCTGACTTAGAAACCACACTCCATTTAGAACAGGGTTTGAGAGGCTTAGTCAGCACTGGGTAGCGTTTTGACTCCATTCTTGGCTTTTTCTTTTCTTTCCAGAAGGATTGTTGTGCAGAAATGGGTCTTTTGTTGCCATGTTTGTCCTCCTTGGAAGGCAGCTCCAGGAGGCCTGTGAAATGTTGGGGGACAGGACCCCCAGGGAGGGAGTCTCAGGCTATGCACTTTAGGGTTCGTTCTCCAGGAACAGCGACCTTGTGCCCGGATCCTGACTGCCCTTCCGGCGCACGCTCTCCTGTTTGGCTTCCACAGACCTGGACTTCTCTGGTTTCTCTCTGCCCACACACTCCCTGCCCCAGGTGCCCCTGCCCCTGCCCCAGCACAGGTGACTTCATTTCTGTCCTCTCAGCTCAGCAGACTCGCTCAACTTTTGTAAAAGTCTCCACTTGGTGGTAGCAGCTTGCTGATGACTTATTTTAAAACTTTAATCCTAAATAACCTTTTGATACTTGAATATTTTTAAGTTTTATACGTAGTTTCTAATTTTTTTTCCTAACAGATTCAGATACCTAATACGATGCTAGAATGTATTCTGTGGATAATCCATGTCCTGGCAGCATTTGCTCTTCCTCTAAGCGCCTGGCCCCACTGCTCTTAGGAGTGGGGTTCTGAAGTCTGGAGAACAGGATACGTGGAGGGTTAGGAAGGGGCCAGCCTTAGAGATGGAAGATTCCCTCCCAGAGCAGGTGGAGGCACAGGACCAATCACTACCCCCTCTGCCCGCACCTGCGGGGGAGCCCAGGCATTCTTTGTAAACCCTCCTGACCACCTGGCTCAAAGAAAACGGAAGCGTGGAGGCCGCCAAGTATTTTCAAGAAATAACCCCATGAACACTGCATCACTTTTTTAGAAAGAGGGCTTTGGGGCAGAGAGAGGAGAGAAGGGAGAGCAGAGCCGAGTTTCCAGACGGTCCTGCAGGAGGAAAGGACGCAGCTGCCCAGAGGGAAGCAGGATCGAATTCAAGAGAGTGTGTGGGGTCCCTGGATGACACCAGCCCCCAGTGTGGCTCTGTCTGGCGACCGCTCCGAAGGTGGAAGCAGTGGGTTTCCCCTGTGTGTCAATGGGCAGCTCCTGCTGAGCCCACAGCTCATCGGGGAGGCTGACAGCGGGGCCGTGCACCTGACACTTCTCTCTGCTTCTGGACAGCTTTCTGTTTGCATCTGTGTGTGGTATGGATTTTGTTTTGCTTTTTTCTTGCTAGGTGAGCACGGCCACCGTTTACAAGCAGTGTCACTCTCGTGGGTGGTGAGGACAGAACAGGAACCTCTGCCCTCTGTACCTATCTGGGCCCTGTGGGCTCCCCTGTCCTGGCTTCCATCTCTGTCTCAGCGACCGTCCAGCCCTGCGCAGGAACACATGTTGCTTAGAAAAGCCAAATCCAGCCTTTGTCTCTGTCTCCTCTGGTCTCATGATGTGCATCTGTCGCCTTGAGACTGGAAGCCAATCTATCAATGTCTGTGCCAATTTTTTGTTCCCTCCCCAACCTCCTTCCCCATATGACTTTATTTATGTAGGATGTGTGCTGTCTAATGATGGGATGACCACACTTTTCCATGTTCTAAAAGTGCTCCTCTCCTGCAGGGCCCCAGAGCTGATGGTTGCTTTGGGTCTAGAGCTGTGTCTTACCGGCCTCCTGCCTCGAAAGCCTGTGTGGTGGCAAAGCTGGTGAGGGGCTGGGGAACGCAGCGTTCTCCAGGAGGACACCCGGCTCTCCTTCTGCAATGCAGGCAAAGGCCTAGATGCCAGTGTGACCTCCCACAAGGCATGGCTTGCAAGACTCCCTGACCAGAAGTGATGCTTTTTTGCTTCAGGCCCTGGGTTTGAAGCAGCCTGGCTTTCTCTCAGTAAGTGGCTAGTGTCTTAGCAGCTGCAATCTGAGCTCAGCCACCTATGCACCACCGTGGGGGAAAGAACTGCGGACACTTTCATTAAAAAGTCCCCTGAGACGACTTGCGTGCATGTTGATTTCATGATCAGCGCCGCTGGGAAGAACCCCTGAGCCGGTGGGGTGGGGCTGGAAGCAGCAGGTGCATGATGGGGCTGGGTGCCCAGGAGGCCTCAGTGCTCAATCAGGCCAAGGTGGCTAAGCCCAGGCTGCAGGGAAGGCCAGCCTGGGGGGTGTGGGTGAGCACAGGCAGTGCCAGCTGGGCAGCGTTAGGACGCTGGAGCCGCAGCCATAACTCCACGGAGTGGGGACAGTCTGGTTGGGGCAGGGAGAGACGATCCCCACTGGGGAGAGGCTGTTCTGACTCTGCAGGTGGGACAGGGACAGATGGCTGCCAGGATGACGCAGCTGGTCTGTCTTTGCTGTGCTGAGCCCTGGGACTAGGAGGACTCCCACCACACACAGCCTGGTCCCGGGTTCTTACCTGTGGCCACCGCTCTGGCACAAGCCCCTCAGTCTCGGGTGGTTTCTGCTTGGTGTTGCTGCTGAGTCCAGCCTTTCCACCACCTCCGCATGGGCCGTGGGTGCTGTCAGCCGCCTCCCGCCTTGGCCTCAGTAGTTCGCCCAGCTTACAGGGGAGCTGCCCTGGGCTGGAGATGGGTGTGCAGCCTGGGTCCTACTTGGGTGAGTGCAGGTTGAGTAGACCCGGCCACATCCACTGGGCCACAGGTTACCCTCGGCAATGCCCACATCAGCCATCAGCCTCAGCCTCCCCAGGAGAGCAAGGCTCACACGACAAAGGCTGCCCGGGGCCAGTGAGGTGGCTGAGCCCAGCCAGAATCTTTCTCGAACTTCGGGGACGTGGCTCTGCTCATGAGCTGCCTGGTCAGCTCTCTCGGGGTGAGAGGGGCTTGTCACACGGGCCCCTGCCTGCAGTGTGACCCTTCTCAGCTTCTCTCAACAGTCCTGCCTGGGGAGTGTCACCGCCACCATGACCATTTCCCTGACACTGCGAGGGTGTGGGGACGTCCTGGGTAGAGACAGGCCCATGGCAGCAGCAGGCTCAGGGGCGCCCTGCACTGGTGGACTGGGGACCTGGCAGAGACCACACCAAGGGCTGGACAAGGGGACGAGCCTCCAGCCTGGCCTCTCCACAGGCCTCAGCAGCCCCTCCCAGAGGCAGAAGGGTCCACACTGGGTTCTGCCCTCGCTGCAAGAGCTGTGAGTGCCACGTGCTGTTCTGCCCAATCTGGTGTCTGCAGGCGAGGCGAGGGCTGCCGCTGGCCCGTTTCTGAGTGTTCAGCACCTAAGGGTGACCACACTCTCTGTCCCCTGCCTTCTGGGTCCTGTTTGGAAATCAAACCCACACTCACAGGCCAATTTTGTTTTTCTTTTAGAGACAGCGCCTCATTTTGTCACCGAAGCTGGAGTGCAGTGGTGCCATCATAGCTCAATGCAGCCTCCAATCCCAGGACTCAAGGGACCCTCCTGCCTCAGCCTGCCAAGTAGCTTGGACTAGAGCTGTGTGCCATTGCACCTGTTTTTTTTTTTAATCATTATTATTTTGTAGACATGGGGTCTGGCTATGTTGTCCAGGCTATTCTCAAAATTCCCAGCCTCAAGCAATCCTCCCGCCTTGGCCTCTCAAAGGGTTGGGATTACAGGTGTGAGGCAACGTACCCAGCTCAGCCACAGAGCTAGTTTTACTAGAGATGGGATTTCCCCATATTGGCCAGACTCATTTCGAACTCCTGACCTCAGGTGATCCACCTGCCTTGGCCTCCCGAAGTGCTAGGATTACAGACATGAGTCACTGCATCATTTAAATGTAGTGAGAGGCCGGGCATGGTGGCTTACTCCTGTAATCCCAGTATTTTGAGAGGACGAAGCAGGCAGATCACCGAAGGTCAGGAGTTTGAGACGAGCCTGGCCAATATGGTGAAACCGTGTCTCTACAAAAAAACAGAAAAAATTATCCCTGCGTGGTGGTGCATACCTGTATTCCCAATTACTCAGGAGGCTGGGGCATGAGAATCACTTCAACCTTGGAGGCGGAGGCTGCAGTAAGCTGAGATGGCGCCACTGCACTCCAGCCTAGGCAACAGAGCAAGACCCTGTCTCTAAAAAATTAAATAAATAAATGTGGCCGAGGCACGGTGCCTTAGGCCTGTAATCCCAACACTCTGGGAGGCCAAGGCAGGTGGTTCATGAGGTCAGGAGTCCGAGACCAGTCTAGCCAAGACAGTGAAACATCGTCTATACTAAAAATACAAAAATTAGCGAGGCATGGTGGCAGGCACCTGTAGTCCCAGCTACCTAGAACACAGGCAGGAGAATTGCTGGAATCTGGAAGGCAGAGGTTGCAGTGAGCCGAGATTGCACCACTGCACTCTAGCCTGGGCGATGGAGCAAGACTTCATCCCAAATAAATAGATTAATTAATACAGAGCAATATTCTGTCGCAAATAAATAAATAAATGTACACCTGTAATCCTAGCACTTTGGGAGGCTAAGACAGGTCCATCACCTGAGGTCAGGAGTTCGAGACTACACTCACCAATATGGCGAAACCCGATCTCTACCAAAAATACAAAAATTAGCCAGGAGTTGTGATGTGTGCCTGTAGTCCCAGCTACTCAGGAGGCTGAGATAGGAGAATTACTTGAACCCAAGAGCTGGAGGTTGCAGTGAGCCAAGATCTTGCCACTGCACTTCAGCCTGGGCGACAGAGTGAGACTCTGTCTCAAAAGGAATAAATAAATAAAATACAAAATAAAAAAAAAATGTTGTAAGATTGCAGAGTCGTGCCGCGGAAGCGTGCTGGTCCTATCCATGTAGCAAAGGCTGATTTCATACACAAATGTCACAAGAACTTTTTTCTTCCTTTTTTTTTTTTTTTTTTTTTTGAGATGGAGTCTCACTCTGTCACCCAAGCTGTAGCTCAGTGTTGCGATCTCGGTTCACTGCAAGCTCCGCCTCTGGGTTCACGCCATTCTCCTGCCTCAGCCTCTGGAGTAGCTGAGACTACAGGTGCCCACCACCATGCCTGGCTAATTTTTTTGTATTTTTAGTAGAGACGGGGTTTCACCTTGTTAGCCAGGATAGTCTCCATCTCCTGATCTTGTGATCTGCCTGCCTCAGCCTCCCAAAGTGCTGAGATTACAGGGGTGAGCCACTGTGCCCAGCCACAAGAACTTTTATACCCACCCCTAAAAGAAAGCCCCGATTGCCTTCCAAAGCAGTACATGGACTGACACATGGGCTGTCCCAAACAGCTCTGGAAAGATAAACAGAAAACAGAAAATGACACACTAAGCCCTTGAGGCCAAAATGCCCTTCCCCAGAGCAGCTGCCAGAAGACAGGGAGCAGGATCGGGTTGGGGGTCACTTCCGGGTGAGGGGAGAACAGTCAGACCCGGGGCAGGGGTGCTGGAGCCTGGTCGGCCTCACTGGAACAGAAGAGAGCTGCTTCGTGATGCTCAGCTGACTGGCAGAGCCTTGCATAACCCAAGTTCTCACGGTACAGAGAGGCCAGCCAGTGCGGGGACAAAGACAGCACACACTGAAATGCTTTCCTGGAAGACGGGGCCCAGTTGCATCTGTCAAATGGGACTAGATTGGAAGGGAGACCAGCTGCTTTGGGCAACCGAGGCCACCTCTGCATAAGCTCCCAAACTAGATGGTGCCGAGGGCCCTGGACCTGGCAGCTGGGCTGGACATCACACAGCCCTGTATTCCAGGAAACGGCATCTCAGTGCTTGTCTGGTCAGTTGTCCAGAAGAACCATCCACAGGCCACTTTTCCATTCCCCTCCTATGCACAGACTGGGCAGGGCCTGACCAGAAACTCTCCCTTGAGGGTTTTCAGTCACTGCCAAAACTTGAGCCCAGCAGTGTGGATGTGATGTTAAAATGTGACTCTGGGCCAGGCGGTGGCTCATCCTTGTCAACCCAGTGCTTTTGGGAGGCTGAGCTGAGAGGATCAGTTGAGGTCAACAGTTCAAGGCCGAGCTGAGGAACATAGATCTCTACAAAAAAATAAAAACTAGCCTGCTCTGGTGACATTCACCCATAGTCTAAGCTACTCAGAAGGCTGAAGTAGCTTAAGCCCAGGAGTTCAAAGCTCCAGCTCTGATGGTGCCACTGTATTCCACCACAAAAGACAGAGTGAGACCATGTCTTGAAAAAAGAAGCAAACCAACTAGGTATAGAAGAAACATACCTGAAAATGGCTGGGCTGGGCGCAGTGCCTCATGCCTGTAATCCCAGCAGTTTTGGAGGCTGAGGCAGGTGGATCACCTGAGGTCAGGAGATCGAGACCAGCCTGGCCAACATGGTGAAACCCCATCTCTACTAAAAGTACAAAAATTAGCCGGGTGTGGTGGCAGGTGCTTGTAATCCCAGCTACTCGGGAAGCTGAGGCAGGAGAATCGCTTGAACCCAGGAGGTGGAGGTAGCCATAATCTAAGATCGCACCATTGCACTCCAACCTGGGCGGCAAGAGCGAGACTCTGTCTCAAAAAACAAAAACAAACAAAACAACATACCTGAAAATAATAAAAACTGCATACGACAAAGCCGTAGCTAACCTACTACAGAAGGTAGTAGGGAAAAGTTGAAAGCATTTCCTCTGTAAACAGGAACAAGATGAGGATGCCGGTTCTCACCACTCCTATTCGACATCACACAATCAGGCAAGAGAAAACAGTAAAAGGCATCCACACTGGAAAACAGGACATCAAATTATCCTTGTCTGATGAAGATGTGATCTTGGATCTAGAAACATCCACCAGAAAACTCCTAGATTTGATAAATAAATTAATACAGTGATTTGCAGGATACAGAATCAACAACAACAACAACAATCAGCAGCATTTCTACACACCAATAATGGTCTGGTTGGGAAAGAATTAAGAAGGCAATCCCATTTACAATAGCAACAAAATGGAAAAATGTATGCCACAGAAATTTTACCAAGGAGGCGAAAGATTTCTACAAGGAAAACTACAAAACACTGAGAAAATGTTTAAGAGGAGAGAAAGAAATGGACAATCATTTCATGCTCATGGTAGGAATTCATAGCATTAAAATGACCACACTGCCCCAAGCAGTCTAGAGATTCAATACAACCCCTACCAAAATACCAATGTCACCACTCACAGAATTGGAAAGTCCTGAAATTCATAAAAAAGAATCAAAAAAGAGCTCAAGGACCCAAAGTCATCCTCAGTCAAAACAGCAAAACTAGAGGCATCCCATTTCACTGCAAATTACAACTACAAAATGTTTGACAAGTGCGTAGTTACCAAAACAGTATAATCCTAACATAAAGCTAGACACTTAGATCAACGGGACAGATGAGAGAACTCAGAAAAACAGCCACATATTTACAGCCAGTTGATCTTTGACAGAGCCGACAGAAACACACACTGGGGAAAGGACACCCTCTTCAATGAATGGTGCTGGGAGGGTTGGATAGCCACATGCAGAAGAATGAAGCCGGACCCTTATCTCTCAGCATATACAAAAATCACCTCGAGATAGATCCAAGACTTAAATGTGAATGTTAAGATACAAAACTACAAAAATATTGGAAGGAAACCTAGAGAAAACTCTCCTGGACTTCACTCTAGGCAAGGAATTTATGACGGGCTCAAAAGCCCGATGTGGAGAAGGATGAGCTGTCCTTTGGATGACAGGTCCTTTGGACGTGTGTCCAGCAGAACCCCTGACAGCTCACGAGGGAGCCTTAGAGGCCAGGTTCCTCTTTGCTGTGCCCACATGGGAAGTGGGGTTGCTAGGGTCAGAGGCCGGCCCAGACTTGCATGTGCAGCCTGCCTTGTTTGCAGTGGCACTGGGTCCTCGACTTGCAACTGGGGGTGTCTGCTTAAATGGTTCCCCAGGATGTGAGCAACAGACCTGCTCCCTGTGCCAGGTCCTGCAGTCACCATGGATGTGCTCAGCCTGGGGGGCCCCCTGGTGTTCAGGCCCCCTCATGCCCCATTGCCATGGGTGGTGCTCGGGGCCTTTCTCTTTACCTGTTTTCTTCTGAGGGAACTCAGAGCTGGGGCTGGCTCTCTGCTCCCAAAGCCCGTGGGTGTGGCTGCAGGGCTGGAACTGGCTCCAGAAGTGCCAGGCCTTGGGCTTCTCAAGCTGCCCTCCATGCTTGCAGCTGGAGAGGGGGCAGGAATTAGCGAGGTGACCTGGGCTGAGTCCTGGGAGTGGGAACAGGTGGCAGGAAGGGGATCTGAGAAGGAGAACAGGGGACCTGGTGGTCTGTGCTTCTTCCTAGACACAGAAGCTGTAGAGGGAGCCTCTGCAGCAGATGCTAGGGGCGCACTGGGCCCCAGGAGTCTTGGGACTTGTGTCTCTCCTGCTGTGCATCCATATTGGGTGCTTTAGAAACAGCAGGGAGACCAGAAGTCCCTGTTGCAAGTGAAGACAAAGCATGGGAAGGCCGTGAGGGTCTGCAGTCCCAGATGGCCTTGGCCTCACCCCGCAGTACACTGTTGATGCACTGGAATGCCGCCTCCTTCTCCAGGTCCAGGTCTTCAGCAGTGACCCGGAACCCCAGCTCTAAGGGAGGTGGCAGCATCAGAGGCTCCCCTCGCCTGCGTGGCAGCAGGGGAAACTTGCGTCTACGGGGCCTAGAGGCCTGGGATCTGGGGGAGCCATTCCTGGGGGCGAGTGTCTGCCCTGGTACTGTATCTGCTGCCTTTTCACACTGGGTGTGACCCGAAGGGACAGCCTGAGGCCTGGCCTCACTCACTGTCTTTGAGGAACTGAGGGTCAGCTGGCAGTGGGATGAGGCTGGCCCCCCTCTCCTCCTCCGCTTTAGCCATGGGAAGCCTCCCGTGGAGCTGTAGGAGCTCGAGATGGCATTTCGTTTGGGACACGAGCTCATGCAGGAGGTCTGGAATCTCTGGTTATATCTGACTTCTGACCTCTGGGCACCTGCTGCAGCTGTGGTTGAGGCCCGGAAATGTGAAGGGCCTCCATCCACTCCACTCAGTAGGGACCCCGACGTGGGGGTCAAAGTGGAGGGGGGAGGGGCCGCTGCAGCAGCTGCAGGAGCAGAAGTGCCAGGCCTTGCTCTTCTCATGCCCCCATCCATGCTTGCAGCTGGCAAGGGGGCAGGAATCAGCGAGGTGACCTGGGCTGGGTCCTGGGAGTGGGAAGAAGTGGCAGGAAGGGGATCTGAGAAGGAGAACAGGGGGCCTGGTGGTCTGTGCTTCTTCCTAGACACAGGAGCTGTAGAGGGAGCCTCTGCAACAGATGCTAGGGGAGCCACTGGGCCCCAGGAGTCCTGCTGTGCATCCATCCTGGGTGCTTTAGAAACAGCAGGGAGACCACAAGTCCCTGTTGCAAGTGAGGACAAAGCATGGGAAGGCCGTGAGGGTCTGCAGTCCCAGATGGCCTTGGCCTCACCCCGCAGTACACTGTTGATGCACTGGAATGCCGCCTCCTTCTCCAGGTCCAGGTCTTCAGCAGTGACCCGGAACCCCAGCTCTAAGGGAGGTGGCAGCATCAGAGGCTCCCCTCGCCTGCGTGGCAGCAGGGGAAACTTGCGTCTACGGGGCCTAGAGGCCTGGGATCTGGGGGAGCCAGTCCTGGGGGTGAGTGTCTGCCCTGGTGTTGTATCCGCTGCCTTTTCACACTGGGTGTGACCCGAAGGGACAGCCTGAGGCCTGGCCTCACTCACTGTCTTTGAGGAACTGAGGGTCAGCTGGCAGTGGGATGAGGCTGGCCCCCCCATCCTCCTCCGCTTTAGCCACGGGAAGCCTCCCGTGGAGCTGTAGGAGCTCGAGATGGCATTTCGTTTGGTGCACGAGCTCGTCCAGGAGGTCTGGGATGTCTGCTTATATCTGACTTCTGACCTCTGGGCATGGAGGTCTCTCTGCAGTGGCCCAGGCCTGGGCACAAAGGGAGAGAGGCCTCCATTGTCCCGCAGGGGCCGAAATGCAGACCGTGCATCCCCGGTGACCACGGGGACCCTTCTCTGATCATCAGGATTCTCTTGGACTCTGGGGTCCTTGTCCTGCTCAGGCATCCCTGCCCCGCTCTCCTTAAGGTCCCCTCAACACGATCTTCCCTGGACACGAGTCTGGGGACAGCCGGGTGTTGTGGGCCCCAAAGGGGTGACTCCCTGCCCCTGGGCTCCACAGAGATTCCTTGTGCTCAGTGCAGGGGCTGAGCTGCAGGACGCCCTGGAATTTGGAGCACACAGCACTGGCTTGCTGTGGTACCTGTACAATCAAATTGAAGGCAGGATCACCAGGAACGAACGCAGGGCTTGAAGGATCACGGAAAACCTTCTTGGAGTTGTCTTGACACCACTGATGCCAAGTGTCTGGATACTTGTAGGATGTCCTGCCACTCCGTCCAGGGACAGGAGCAACGGGGAGATCCCACAAGCAAAGTGAACTGGGGGATGGGTTGAACGGGCTCCAGGCAACTGAGCCCTACTGGCAGGTCCTCAGCCGCAGGCCGGGACAGGAATAAGGGGCACAGAGTGCCCAGGTAACCGCTCCTGGGAGCAGTGGGGAATCATCCAACGCTTGAACTCTCGAGAGCTGGGCTCTGAGGTCCTCGTCGAGCTGCCAACTCGGCCGAAGGCTAAGCGAGCAGTTTCTTCTGTTGCCAGGCAACGCGCCTTTTAAACCTAAGGGAGTGGGTGCGCGTGCACAGAACGGCGCGAGTGATAGAGCGACCTTAACGGATTAGCGCGGCAAGACACCACGTGGGAGGTGCCTGCTGGCAATGGCAGGAGGTGGACATTGGTGGGGGCACGCAATAGATACTGGAAGGAGAGACCGGCGCACAAAGGTTGTGGGAAGAACAGGTGCTCACAACGGCTGCAGATCTGCCTGTGGATCACTGAAAATTTCTGCTCTGCTGAGGCGGAGATTGCAGTCAGCTGAGATTGCACCATTGCACTCCAGCCTGGGCAACAAGAGCAACACTCCTTCTCAAAATAAAAAAGAGAAAAAGGAAAAAAAGAGGCCAGGCACAGTGGCTTATGCCTGCAATCTTAGCACTTTGGGCGGTCGGGGTGGACGGATCATGAGATCTGGAGTTGGAGACGAGCCTGGCCAACATAGTGAAATCCCGTCTCTATTAAAAATACAAATTTAGTCAGGCATGGTGGCACACGCCGGTAGTCCCAGCTACTCGGGCGGCTGAGGCAGGAGAATCATTGAACCCCGGAGGCAGGGGTTGTGGTGCTCCGAGATCCCGCCACTGCACTACAGGCTGCGCAAGATAGCCAGACTTTTTTTTTTTTTTTTGTACGTAGTCTCCCCTCTGTCACCCAGGCTGGAGTGCAGTGGCGCGATCTCAGCTCGCTGCAAGCTCCCCCTCCCGGGTTCACCCCATTCTCCTGCTTCAGCCTCTGGAGTAGCTGGGACTACAGGTGCCCGCCATCACTCCCGACTAATTTTTTGTATTTTTAGTAGAGACGGGGTTTCACCGTGTTAGCCAGGATGGTCTCAATCTCCTGGCCGCCTGATCCACCTTCCTCGGCCTCCCAAAGTGCTGGGATTACATGCGTGAGCCACGGGCCGGTCGAGACTCTGTCCTTAAAAAAAAAAAAAAAAAGCTGGGCACGGTGGCACTTTGGAAGGCTGAGGCGGGCGGATCACTAAGTGAGGAGTTGGAGACCAGCCTGGTTTAAACGGTGAAATCCCGTCTCTACTAAAACTACAAAAAATTAGTCGGGCTGGTGGCGGGCGCCTGTAGTCCCAGCTACTTGGGAGGCTGAGGCAGGAGAATGGCGTGAACCCGGGAGGCGGAGCTTGCAGTGAGCCGAGATCTGGCCACTGCGCTCCAGCCTGGACGACAGTGCAAGTCTCCCTCTCAAAAAAAAAAAAAAAAGAAAAAAAGAGAAAAAGGGTTTTTAATAGACACTGAATAATTACAATTTAGTTGAGCTAGAAATCTATTTAGTTTCTTCCATATTTTTCCAAAACTTTCATCCTTTTTTTTTTTTTTTTTTTGGAAGCGGAGTTTTGCTCTTGTTCCCCAGGCTGGAGTGCAATGGCGCAATCTCAGCACCTGCTGGCAATGGCGGGAGGCTGGAGGACGCTCGCCCAACAGGTACTGGAGGGAGAGGCGCGCGCAGAAAAGACATGGGAAGACCAGGCGCGCGCACAATGGCTGCAGATCCGCCAGTGGATCACTGAAGATTCCTGCTCTCCTGCAGAGCTGGAGACTGAAGGGAGCTAAGATCACATCCTTGCACTCCAGCCTGAGCAACAAGAGCGAAACTCCGTCTGGAAAAGAAAAAGAAAAAGAGAGAAAAGAAAAGTAATGGCCAGGCGTGGTGCCTCACGCATCCCAGCACTTTGGGAGGTGGGGGCCAGCGGATCACGAGATCAGGAGTTGGAGACCAGCCTGGCCAACATAGTGAAACCCCGTCTCTACTAAAAATACAAAAATTAGCCAGGCATGGTGGCACGCACCTGTAGTCACAGCTATTCCTGTAGCTGAGGCAGGAGAATCACTTGAACCTGGGAGAGGGAGGTTGTGGTAGGCTGAGATCCCGCCATTGCACGCCAGCCTGGGCAACAGAGCGAGACTCCGTCTTAAAACATATTAAAAAAAAAAGAGAAAGGGTTATTAATGCACTTTTATGCCTGTCTTCAATTTGCTTAGGAACTAGAAATCCATTTGGTTTCTTCCATATTTTTCCAAATTTTTCATCCTTTTTTCTTTTTTTGAGATGAAGTTCTGCTCTTGTCCCCCAGGCTGGAGTGCAATAGCACAATCTCAGCTCACTGCAACCTCTGCCTCCTGGGTTCAAGCGATTCTCCTGCCTCAGCCTCCTTAGTAGCTGGGATTACAGGCATGCACCACCTGGCCTGGCTAATTTTTGTATTTTTAATACAGATAGGGTTTCACCATCTTGGACAGGCTGGTCTCAAACTCCTGACCTCAAGACAGAGTTTAGTAGAAACTTTGTCTCTACTAAAAATACAAAAATGGCCAGGCGTGGTGGTTCACTCCTGTAATCCTAGCACTTCGGGAGGCTGAGGCCGGCGGATCACCTGAGGTTGGGAGTTTGAGACCAGCATGACCAACATGGAGAAACCCCATCTCTACTAAAAATATAAAATTAGCCTGGCGTAGTGGCGCATGTCTGTAATGCCAGCTACTCAGAAGGCTGAGGCAGGAGAATATCTTGAACCTGGGAGATGGAGGTTGTGCTGAGCCGAGATTGCACCATTGTACTCCAACCTGGGCAACAAGAGTGAAACTCCATCTCAAAACAAAAATTAGCTGGGTGTGGTGGCGGGTGCCTGTAATCCCAGCTACTCGGGAGGCTGAGGCACAAGAATTGCTTGAACCCGGGAAGTGGAGGTTGCAGTGAGCCAAGATCAGGCCACTGCACTCCAGTCTGGGCAACAGACGGAGACTCAATCTCAATAAATAAATAATTATTAAGACAAAAATAAGGACATTACATAAACCATGTTATACCAGTGATTTTTGAAAATATCCAAGCAGTTTTATAGAAAAATATAACTCAGGCCAGGTGCGGTGGCTAATATCTATAATCCCAGCACTTTGGGAGGCCGAGGTTGGCGGATCACCTGATGCCAGGAGTTCGAGACCAGCCTGGCGAACATAGTAAAACCCCAATTCTACTAAAACTACAAAAATTAGCTGAGCATGGTGGCACATGCCTGTAATCCCAGCTACTCGTGAGTCTGAGGTTGGAGAATCACTTGAACCTGGGAGGCGGAGGTTTCAGTGAGCCGAGATCAGGTGACTGCAGTCTAGCCTGGACAACAGAGAACTTCCGTCTCAAAAGAAAAATACAACTTCATAAAAAAGAAAAGTTTGTCTAGATCTAGAACCATTACAGGAATGGAATGGTTATTTTAAAATCTGTATCCCATCCCTTCAAAAATCTCACAAAAAACAAAACCAAAGAAAGCCTGGCCCAGATGATTTTATAGATTAAGTCCAGCTAACATTAAAGAGAACAGAAAGTCTATCTTCTACAAAATTTTTAAAAAATAATTTATTTATTTTTTAGAGGAAATCTCGCTCTGTAGCCCAGACTGGAGTGCAGTGGCGTGATCTCTGCTCACCGCAAACTCCACCTCCCAACTTCAAGCCATTCTCCTGCCTCAGCCTCCACAGTAGCTGGGATTACAGGTCCACCCAGCTAATTTTTTTGTATTTTTAGTAGAGACGGGGTTTCACAATGTTAGCCAGGGTGTTCTTGGACTCCCGACCTCAGGTAATCTGCCTGCCTTGGCCTCCCAAAGTGCTAGGATTACAAGCATGAGCCACAGTGCCCAGTCTACATTTTTTTTTTTTTTTTTTTTTTGAGACGGAGTCTCACTCTGTTGCCCAGGCTAGAGTGCAGTGGCGCAATCTGGGCTCACTGCAAGCTCCACATCCCAGGTTCAGGTCATTCTGCTGCCTCAGTCTCCCAAGAAGCTGGGACTACAGGCACCCGCCACCACGCCAGGCTAATTTTTTGTATTTTTAGTAGAGATGGAGTTTCACCATGTTAACCAGGATGGTCTCAACCTCCTATCCTCGTGATCCGCCGGCCTTGGCCTCCCAAAGTGCTGGGATTACAGGTGTGAGCCACTGTGCCCGGCCCCGGCCTATATAATCTTTCAGAAAAAGAAGCAAATGGAATTCTCCCCCAACTCATTGTGAATTTAGTATAGGCTTAATACCAAACCAGACATCAATAGTACAAGGAAGCAAAAGTATAAGCTAACTTCTTATGGATATATATGCAAAAATGCTAAATAAAATATTAGCAAATAATCCAGTAATGGATTAAACATGTATCACGATCACGTTGTGGTTTTTCTAGGAAACTAAGATGATGTAATAAAAGAAAAAACTATTAAAGTAGTACAAACTATCAAAGGAAAAAACCTGTATGATCATTGCAATGGGGTCATTTGCGACATCATTTAATTTTTTTTCTTTTTTCTTTTTTAAGTCTTTTTGGCTGTAAGTTTATTCAATGCAAAATAATCCTCTCCAATTTTACTGAGGTGGCTGACCGCATCCATGACCAAATCCGTCTATAAACTGGAATTTGGTTGTTGACCCAGCCCCAGCCTCGGGTCTCTTGTCGGCACCAGGAGGCACAGCACTCCCTCTGTATGTATCTCTGTCGGCTTCCCTCTTGTGAGTCTTGCAGGTCGCTCACCCTCCAGACCTTTAGGACTAGGCCTGCCAGTCCCTGGACGGCTGCAGTGTAGGGTGGCAGGCACAATCTCCGGGGGCAGATGAAGATAATCACGAAGATACTGGATACCCTCATTGATAAGGTACCAGTAGAAATGTCTCCAGGCAAACTGTTCCTTCATGTAGTAGCCTCGGGACTTGAAAGACTGCATGGCCTTCATGACATGAAGGTTGGGGATATTCCTTTTTTTTTTTTTGAGTCTCACTCTGTTGCCGAGGCTAGAGTGTAGGGGCACAATCCCGGCTCACTGCAACCTCCACCTCCTGGGTTCAAGCAATTCTCCTGCCTCAGCCTTCCGAGTAGCTGGGATTTCAGGGAACAGTATTTTCTTTTGTCAAAAGAGCCTCTTACACCTTTGATATTTCCCAAGCTTATCATAGATACAAGCTTTTAAAGAATGACATTTGCAGTCACCCAGTAGGACACATCTCGAGATGAAATCAGAGTTGTAGGCTTTGTAGACAACAGCAGTCATTTCTGGTGGCTTCCGGGAGCAGAGGGGGACTGCCGTTTTGCTAACGTAGGTGATACCAAAAGGACTATAGTAAGTTTTTCTTAGTAATTAAAAACCAGGCCGGGCGCCCACGCCTTCACTCCCGGCACTTTGGGAGGCTGGGGAGGGCAGATCACCTGAAGTCAAGAGTTTGAGACCAGCCTGACCAACATGATGAAATCCTGTTGCTATTGAAAACACAAAAATTAGCCAGGCGTGGTGGCACACACCTGTAATCCCAGCTACTGAGGAGGGTGAGGCAGGAGAATCACTTGAACTCGGGACGCAGACGTTGCAGTGAGTCAATATCACACCACTGCACTCCAGCCTGGGCAACAGAGCAAGACTCCGTCTCAAAAAAACAAAACAAAAACCAGACATAATAAGGCCGAACGCAGTGGCTCACACCTGTAATCTCAGTAGTTTGGGAGGCCAAGGAGGGCAGATCACCTGATGTCAGGAGTTCGATACCAGCCTGGCCAACATGGTGAAACCCCGTCTCTACAAAAAATATATAAATTAGTCGGGCGTGGTGGCACATGCTTGTGATCCCAGCGGCTCGGGAGGCCAGGGCAGGAGAATTGCTTAAGAGGCGGAGGGTGCAGTGAACTGAGGTCTCACCACTGCATTCCAGCCTGGGCGACAGAATGAGACTCCCTCTCAAAAAAGGAAAAAAAAAAAAAAAACACAGCTGTTACAATATACATGTATGTTGTAAAATAACCAACCCAATATAGAAGGGTATATAGTGAAAGGAGAAGAACTGTTGGTAAAATTGTTTCTATGAATAAATGGCTAATCCAGTGTTTTTTCCTCCAGAAAAACACCTTTTCCCCTTTGATTTAGTGTACACCACACAGAGTCGCTTAGCCGACTCAGCGACTTTTTAGATCGCTGGAGAATGCTTCCTAATGGTTGCAGGTGTGTAGGGGTTTTCTTGACATTTTCAGTAAGAAAGTGAATGCTGTGCCATAGGAAAGCTTTATCACTGGTGCACGTTGGCAGCCAACCAAATACTTGAGTGTCAAGTATGGTATCTAGTGAGTGGAGAATAACCGTAATAATTTCAATTACAGTTGTAGTTAAAGTGAAGTTTGTATCAAAATTTCTGTTTTAAACATGAACTTTTAGGAGGTGTATCTGCAGTGTTTCCTCCTCAGATGTGATTTGTCTGAAGCAGTGGTTCTCTATAACTGACTTGACTCACAATGCATCTGATATTTCAGTTTACTGAGAAATCCACTGAGAAAGCTGTTAAGTTTGCCTGGCATTAAAGATATTCCTACATTGTTAAATAGATCTTTTCTTATTAGATATAAAATGTCAGGAGATATTTTATTTTGAGACAGTTTCGCTCTTGTTGCCCAGGCTGGAGTCCAATGGTGTGATCTCGGTTCACCACAACCTCTACCTCCCGGGTTCAAGTGATTCTCCTGCCTCAGCCTCCCAAGTAGCTAGGATTACAGGCATGTGCCACCACCCCTGGCTAATTTTGTATTTTTAGTAGAGACAGGGTGTCTCCATGTTGATTAGGCTGGTCTGGAACTCCCGACCTCAGGTGATCTGCCCGCCTTGGCCTCCCAAAGTGCTGGGATTACAGGCACGAGCCACCTCACCTGGCCCCAGGAGATTTTTTTGTGTTGTGGTGTGCCAACAAAATAAGCCTAGGCAGGGAAATTCCTTCTGGTGCTTGGAATTGTTAGTACTGAATAGACTAGCTGCGAGGTAAAGAAACCCCACGGTGTTTTCTATCAGTTCAGAAATCACTGTGACCTCAGTCTTTTGCTGTGAAATAACATGACCATTAAGAAAGTAGGCTTAAATAATGTATTTTGGGTATGTCGAGGGGGAAGGACAGTTACGATCTGTTCCAAAGTGAACATAAGAGATGATCCCTGTCTGTCTGTCAAGCCTTTAAAATTTATAGTGCTCTTCTGTTAATCTCAAGATTTCGAGTTATTGTGACATACTCTTAAAACCTGCAGTGCACCAAAAGGCATATTTTTAAAGCATCTTGAAATTAATAATGTAATATCTACTTCTTCAGAATAGCAGTTTTTACATTCTGAAGACTTGACTGCTCTCAGCCACTTCTGAGTTCTCTATTTTCAAAGATAATTTGGTAAGTCCATAAAGGAAATCTGTAAATAAGAGAAGAGAGTGAATATCTTTTAACAGTGTTTTTCCTGATCTTTTCTAATATCTTCGTTGTGGTTCTGTCCTTTAGTTTTTGGTTAAATCCTGAGCTTTACTTCTGCCTGTATCTTCCCAAACTATTAATCTGTTCACAGTCACTCTCCCACTTAAACCCTTCAACAGCCCCCCCTACCTTCGTAATAAGGTCTCCTTAGCTTGGTATCCAGAACACTTCAATACTGGCCTTTGACCCCTGTTCTCCTTCCCCCATCTCTGTTTAGGTGCTTCACTGAGCTGCAACGAACAGCTCTTGGCCCCTTGAAATCTCTCCAGTCTCCTTGTCTCCCTCTGCTGGAATATTCTTCTCTCACTTCATCTGATCATTGCCTTCAAAACTCAGCTCATTTTCTTATTTCCTTGCCCTTTTCATGTCCCTTGTTTTCCTCCAATTAAATTAATGTTCCAGACTCAAAAGAAAAACGGCTCAGCTCAGGCATTACCTTGTCTGGAAGGCTTCCCTAGTCCTCCTGCCTCCTGCAGACTTGTCTGGTACCCTGTACATTCGGGATTTGGCACACTGTGTCTCGTCTGCGGCCTCCACTGCACGATGAGACCGTAAGTGTGTGGCTTGACAGAAAGTTGTTCAATCTTTTGTGCTGGTACAGTGCTGGGCATGGCACTGTTACAGAGGAAATGGGCCACTTAAATCCTGCCCTTAGGAGCTTTTATTCTAGTTACACTTGACCCTGCCAGCTGTGAGACACCTCCCAGTAGTGCATACCAACTTTCAAAGTCCATTTAATTGTATCTTAGCGTCTGATTCCAGTCTTATTTCTTGAAGGAGGGGAGTGTCTCTAATGTCTTATTTTAGCACCCAGAGACCAGGTAGGCATCATTTTTGTCCCAAATTCTGGAAGGAATGTGCATTTGGCACAGATTACTTCCCTTTTTTTCTTGTACACCTTTCACCTTTTTTTAAAGTTTGATGTGTTTGAATAGTAAGGGTTTAAGAGATTAAGATTAAATTTCAACTTTGTCTATTGTGCGTATAGCCTAAGGAAAACAAAAAGTTAAAGAGGAAAAATACATTGCCTCTAAAAAGAAGACTCGTTATTAAACTTTTTTTATTTTTGTTTTCAGAGACTGGGTCTCACCCTATTGCCCAGGCTGGAGTGGTGAACACAGCTCACCATAGCCTTGAATTCCTGGGCTCAAGGGTTCCTCTTGCCTTAGCTGTCTCACTAGCTGGGACTGCAGGCCCGCACCAGCACACCTGGCTCATTTTCAAAAATTGTTTTGGAGAGTCATGGTCTCACCGTCTTGCCCAGGCTGGTGTGGAACTCCTGGGTTCAAGCCAATTTTCAAAAATTGTTTTGGAGAGTCACGGTCTCACCATCTTGCCCAGGCTGGTGTGGAAATCCTGGGTTCAAGCAAATCTCCCGCCTTGGCCACCCTAAGTGTTGGGATTCCCATTGTGCCCAACCTAAACTTTTTTTTTTTTCTTTAATGCTGAGCTGTACACAAAAGAAAATGTCCTGGCCGGGCGCGGTGGCTCAAGCCTGTAATCCCAGCACTTTGGGAGGCCGAGACAGGTGGATCACGAGGTCAGGAGATCGAGACCATCCTGGCGAACACCGTGAAACCCCGTCTCTACTAAAAAATACAAAAAACTAGCCGGGCGAGGTGGCGGGCGCCTGTAGTCCCAGCTACTCGGGAGGCTGAGGCAGGAGAATGGCGTAAAACCTGGGAGGCGGAGCTTGCAGTGAGCTGAGATCCGGCCACTGCACTCCAGCCCGGGCTACAGAGCGAGACTCCGTCTCAATAAAAAAAAAAAAAAAAAGAAAATGTCCTGGTCAAGCCTCGGAAAGAAGTATGCAAAGAAACTGGTAGCAGCCTGGATGTGATGGCTCATACCTGTGATTTCAGGGCTTTGGGAGGTGAAGAGGAGAGGATTGCTTGAGGCCAAGAGTTCGAGACCAGCCTGGGCAACATAGTGAGACCCTGTCTCTACAAATAAACATTTTATAATTAGCCGGGTGTGGTGGTACGCACCTGTAGTCTCAGCTACTTGAGAGGCTGAGGCAGGGGGATCTCTTGAGCCCAGGTGTTTGAGGCTGCAGTGAGCTAGGATCACACCACTGCTCTCCAGCCTGGGCTACAAAGTGAAACTCTGTCTCTAAAGAAAAACATGCTGGTGGCATTGTCAAGATTTGTCAAGAAATAGCCATGACACTGGGCCCAGTGGTGCGCACCTGTAGTGCCAGCTGTTCAGGAGGCTGAAGTGGGAGAATCTCTTGAGCCTAGGAGTTTGAGCTCAGCTTGGGCAGCATTGCAAGACCCCAGTCTCTCAAAAAATAGGTCAATAAGGTTTATTTTAATTAAACAAGAAAAATAAATATCTGCTAAAATTTAAAGCTATTCTGTTCTTCCTCTCTCTCTTCTAGTGTTCTTGGGGAAGATCCCTACTAAGCCATTTTCCAGTGGCACCTCTTCCACCATGCATTCCTGAGGCAGTCTGATGGGGCTACTTT